TGATGATATAATAATATATCAATTAATTATTAAAATAAATACTGACTTAATCATATAATAGTTATTATAATTAATAGATATTCATCAATAATTAATATAAATAAATAACAAAGTATATAATGAAATTAAATAATAAATAGATATAAATATAAAATGTAATAAACATAGAATTAATTATATTCATTATCATTATAAAATGAATTTAAAAATATGTTAATTTTATTTTAATTTTATTAAATATTGATATTCTAAATATTGATAAAGTATATATAAATCAGACAATCAATAATTATAATATGTTATTCAAATATTTAATAATATCATAAAAATAAAATAAGAGAAAAAAGGAAGAGAAGTGATGAAAAAGAATGGTATTAAAGAAAAAAAGTGAAATTAGGAAGTAGTAGAAGATGAAAAGAATAAAAGTAGAATGTTGAGATTATAAAATGAAAGAAGATAAAAAGGAATAATTCAAAAAGAGATAATCAAAAAAATGAAAAGAATGATGAAATAAAGGATGTATTTTTTATTACAGAAATTAGAAATATGAAATAAAAAAGCGTTTAATTTTGATATAAAATAATTAACAATATTTTATTGATATAAATTATTTTATTCATTTTTATTTTTATGATTTTTATTTATATTATAATTTATTTTGGTTCCATGATAATAAAATAATCATCAGAATGAATTTAATTTAAAGAATGATTAATGAATAGAAGATTGATTAAAACAAATAATTAAATCATTTAATCTTAATTTGAATAACATCATTTACAATTCAATATTAATTAAGAATAAAATGATAAAGAAATATTTTTAATATTCATTTTCTATAATTTCATTTAATTTCATTACATTAATTTATATTTAATATATCTATTCAATATTTTAATCATTAAATCTTGTAATTCTTATAAATGAAATTAACATAAATTCAAATAACAGAGTTAGTAAATAAATGAAATAAATTGATAAAATCAAATCAAAAACAAGAGTTATAAATGAGAATGATATGAAATATTATTATGATAAATTTATAAAATGGATACAATATTAATATAATTATTATTTAAATTTATTCATAAATTAAGAATATTTCATTTAAATGTTGTATATCATTGTTAATAGATATCATAATAATATTCAAATAATATTGATATGAAATATTTTAATAAGAAGAAATAATAAAAGAGAATAATATAAACATGAAGATAAAGAAATAAAATAATAAACATTACAATAATCAAATAATATTGAAAATACAATAAAATTATATTAAAAATACAATAAAATAATACAATGAAAGAATATAAATAAAATAATGAAAATAAAATGAAAATAAAGAAGAAATAATCAATAATAAATGATATTAATACAATAATTAATAATAATAAAATTATTCATATCATTTAATTTATTTAAATAAAGAATAGAATAATAATGAAATAATATAAATAAATATAATGAATATAAATTATTTATATCATTTCTTATTTTATAATGATTTTATTTTATTCATTTCTTATTTATTTTGTTTATTTTTTGATTTATTTTATTATTAACATATTATTATTTGAATTTATTATTTATTATAATTATTGATGAAATATTAATATTTCATATTAATGATAATATAAATATTATATTATTTATTTATTTATGAATGAAATGATATGTTTTATCTGATTAGTATATTATAATGAATTATTTATTTTTGAATGAATACAATTAAGATGATATTCTGATATTTAAAATAAAATTAAATATAATAATTACTTTGATATTCAATTTATTTATCATCATATTTTCAATATTCAAATTATATTTATATTTAAACATTATTTATTTCTTTTGTTTAATATATAATTAATTTTAAATCATAATAAACATTAGATGTTATAATTTATATTTAATATATTAATATTAATTGTATATCATAGAATTTAATTTATATTTTCATTATATGATTATTATATAAATATTGATATTATTTTATATTCATATGTTGATTTTCATATATTTTCATAATTTATGAATGATTGTAATTTATATTTATTCATAATATATTAAATAAAACAATGTATATCTTTATTATCATATATTATTTATTATTGATGTATTTTTATTTGATTTTCATCATTATAAAATATAATTATTAATATCAAAGAATATTATTGATTATGATAATCTAATATCAATATAAAATAATATAAATTGTTAATTTACATCATATTAATAAATGAAATGAAATATAATATAAAATTAAATATAAATTAATTATTAATTGTTATTTCATTTATTTTATTATACAATATTAATATTATTTCATCAAATATTTAACTAATAAATGTATTAATGAATAATTTAATAATGTATTTATGATATTCATCATAAAATATCAATAATTTAATAAAATAATAAATCATATTTATTTCATTTTTTATTTTATTTTATATTAAATTGATTCAATCTTAAATCTTTTATTA